CTGTACAGTACCGCAAATGATCCCCAACCGCAAATGATCCCGTGACCACAAATGATCTCCAAAATGGACCGCAAATGATCCTCGACCGCAAGTGATCCTTAAAGTCGACCGCAAATGATCCCGAAAGAAAATTAGGAAGGGCTTGGACTCAAGTTAGCGGATCATCGTGTCGATTTTATTATTATTACAATAAGTAAGATTAAAAGCTAAATTTTACTTCTCAAATAAATGTATGAATAAAAACTAAATGAAAAAAATCAATCAAGTGTAAAAACGAAGTCGGTCTTTTACCTCATGCTAAAATGTAGCCTCCCCGCAGACGTCCTTTGGGGTTCGTTTGTCACGCATTCATTTCTCCCCCACGGACGTACTGCTAATGACAGCCTACATTTACGTTCACCAATCAAATGAATGCGTGACTAATGAACCCCAAAGGACGTCTGCGGGGAGGCTAGCTAAAATGCTGCTTGTTCCAGTGACTTTTTTCCGGCTCTGGCGGGTAGATTATACGTCTGAAGAAAACGTTTTGACTGAGCAAATGTGATTTTTGCCGCTTATTTCATACTGAGAGGTCATGACACGCATTTTGTACAGTTATCGTTGTTTCTGGTCGGCAAGATTTGCCCTTTGATGCAAGAGCATTTCCTTTGACCTCTTTTGAAATGCAGTGCTTTTCATTGCCGCTAAAAAAGGGTTTTAGGTTGTTTAATTTTCTCCAAAGTGCCTCCTGGATCCCAATAATCATAAGCGATTTTCTTTTAGTCCGTGAATGTGACGGTTTCCTACGATGTTTTGTCACGCGACAACTACCGCTTACTTGGCTTTGCGTGTCTCATTACCAGGTTTAGATTCCTGGTAACTGTCTTCAGCAAAGGCACAACAAATGAATATACATAAAAGCGCCAATATAACTATTCACAACACGTTCATGAGCTGTAAGAAAGTTGCTATTTCAAAATAAACCGAAACCTGTGGACATTGATAAGTTCGGGGGCATTTTGACTTGTGTTTATGTTAAGTCATGTCTTGTTTCGTAACGGGCACCTAAATTACGAACAAATGTCTTGCTGTTTATCACGTCAAATTAACATTTCAGAGAAAAATCAAATTAAATATTCTGGCTGATTAATTTCACGCTTTCAAAAGGATCAGTAAAGTCAATAAAGCTCTTGTTATGTAGAGGGTGCCCGGCTTTGTATTCCCAATAGTAGAAAAGTTGAGCTTCTAGGTGTTAAAATAATAGAGTTTTTTCTGCGTAACGTCCTGCAATTAAATTTTTCAAAAGACGAAACATTCTTGAAACAAAATTGAAGCAATCGACAAAGGAAGAAGTATACGGTTAATACCATACCTTTTCAGATTGATTCCATTTTTTTTTTTTTCGCCTTGTATAAATTGACCTGAGATGTAGCGTCCTCCTTCCCTAGGCGAGAGAAAAAGGTTTCTTTTTTTATAATCAGTCCTTTTTTGTAATCAGTCCCACAAATCCATTCCATTCCTCAAGTTTTCACGGGATCATTTGCGATCGACTTTAGGGATCACTTGCGGTCGAGGATCATTTGCGGTCCATTTTGGGGATCATTTGCGGTCTCGGGATCATTTCCGGTTTGGGATCATTTGCGGTACTGTACATCTCTGGCACCCAGGGTAAGTTTGTTTTGCAAACTGAACGAAATATCGGGCAAATACACTTTACAATTATTTTTCTCTACGTGTTTCTTAGCCTTCTTCATACCGTAAGGATCAGTTTGATGTTTCTCTGCTTATGTTTTTGAAGGTACTTTTAGTTGAGAGACCTTATAGAGATGCCAATCATTCTATTTTGCATTACACCCCTTCCCTCCGCCCCGAATGTCAACAGCCCCACCATCACCACAACCCCACCACCCCCACCCAGCTGCCTTGTTTTGGCTGCCATGGCTAAGGACATTAAATGGAGTATGCTATCAAAATTCCCTTTCGTCATTGTAATAAAGAAATAATCTTTGTCAGTGACTTAATACGTGCAAAAATGGCTCAGAAACCGTACAATGAATGAAAAAAGTTCGAATTTTGAGGGAAAAAATGGGCTAAATTTAAAACTAAAGTACAGAAATCCTCAAAAGTCCATTTTATCCAGGAGATTTGGTGACCCGTACGGGAGAGCAGGAGATCAGTGCCAACTCCCGGATAATCCAGGAGAGTTGTTATAGATGAACGAGGTCTTGCGTCCATCAAACGCAGGCGTCTTGAGGGAAGCCCTACCGCCCTTCTCCTCGTTTGTGGGAGGTTTCACTATGTGATCAGTTGTGATCAATAAAGCTGGACCTTTTAATATACCTTTGTACATGGACACGTTTTCTTGCCTTTTATAATACCTTTCCAGTAGTTGCGCACCGCTCGATCACGCTTTACTTCACAAACGGCGGGAAATTGCAAAGAGGACGTCACGCCCAGCGCCCAAGGCAGCACTCGAACTTTTTTAATGAGTTTTCTGCTTCTGAGATCCGACCCTACAGTTTTTCAGTTAATTATTTTCCAGTACGAGACCACAACCTTTTAATTAAGGATTATGACATGTTTAAGTCTGCCGCTTGTGACCGTCTCAGAATAAAATTAACTAGGAGAGTGCTTTTAACTGTTATTCTACTCAAGTGCTTATTTCATTGGATGGACATTTTAATTTTTTTTACTTTATAATAACGTTATTTATGGAATTTTTATCAGAATGTTATTATTTTTGTTAAGCTGATGTGATGCAGTAATAATCTGCTTTATCCGTTAATAAAATAGATGTACTGCGGAAGTGGAAATCCATAACTTCAGTCTAGTTCATATCTTTATTGAAGTGATCAGTCAGTATCAGGCCGGATCAATTGTATTGCCGGGTTCGTGACTAATGTTCTTTGGCGCATAACCAGACTTAATATGAAACTCATATAGCGAAAAAACATGTTTTGGCAGCGTAAATTTTATGATCTTTCGCGCAATCCTTGAATGGAGGCCGGAATGATTCGTACTGATTGCAAACAGTTAGAAAATGTCATGGTGAAGTGCACATTCTCCAGGGAATCCCCGCATAGGCGGCATTTTTCATCAGTTACTTGTGATTTTGTTTTTCTGTTGTAGTAAACCTTGGTAGGTAATAGCTGTTGGTAAAAGCTCTTGTACTCCAGCGATGGTATGCTTTGGGGCATTCTTCCATGAAAAAAGCCACACAAAGTACTCCTCCAGTTTAACTTTCTCGTTGTCCCATCTGTTGTTGATAAGCTTTCCTTGCCATCTCTCCTCAGATACCGTTGATTGTATCTCGTGCTGGCGGGGTTCGTAGATTGCCTGCTTTACATTCTTAGCGTCGACTTTTTTACCATCGGTGATAGCAGTTGGGTTAGGGACGTTTAACCACAACTGTAGATCCAGCTCCTCTGCATACTTCTTGGCATCTGTAATGATGGAGTGACGTCCATTCTGTACGATCTTACTGCTGCCATCGTAGGGTCAGCGTTTCAATAAAGCTTTACTGCGGCTTTGATCTTAGTGTTCTTGTGTTCATTTTCCAAGGAATTGAGACCTCTTCCACCGAGCTTCCTAGACATGTAGAGTATCGCTTTCGATTCCTTGGGGTGATTTCCTCCATTCTCCACGATGATTTTTCTTCCCTCTCGGTCAAGCTCAGGGGCGGATCTAGGGGGAGGGTGCAGGGGCTGCGCACCCCCCCTCCCCGTGAGATGACCTGCGGTTTTCTAATACACTGGTATTCTGCCAAAAAAAAAAAAACTATGTGGTTTATTGGGGTTGAAGTAGAGCAAGAGACGAGTGCACCCCCTCCTAAAAAAAATCCTGGATCCGCCCCTGAAGCTGTTGGATGTTTGCTATCGCCGGCCAAGTTTGTGTCCACATCAAGTATGTAAGTACTGGTAAAGCGTACTGATTGGACGCCACTACCTTTGCATGATCTGACAATGGGCTGGACCAGATGATTGGTAGCCTCTGCTGGTATGTCGTTGCTGCGGCTTCCAGTACTTGCTTATCCTCTTGCTTGGTGTTTTCGAAGACGCCTAAGAACTTATAGGTGTTATGTTGGTCCAGGCTCTTCGTAGGTTTCTTATTATTGATAGCTCTNAAAAAAAAAAAACTATGTGGTTTATTGGTGTTGAAGTAGAGCAAGAGACGAGTGCACCCCCTCCTAAAAAAAATCCTGGATCCGCCCCTGAAGCTGTTGGATGTTTGCTATCGCCGGCCAAGTTTGTGTCCACATCAAGTATGTAAGTACTGGTAAAGCGTACTGATTGGACGCCACTACCTTTGCATGATCTGACAATGGGCTGGACCAGATGATTGGTAGCCTCTGCTGGTATGTCGTTGCTGCGGCTTCCAGTACTTGCTTATCCTCTTGCTTGGTGTTTTCGAAGACGCCTAAGAACTTATAGGTGTTATGTTGGTCCAGGCTCTTCGTAGGTTTCTTATTATTGATAGCTCTTGATAGATTTATTATTATTATTATTATTATTATTATTATTATTATTATTATTATTATTATTATTATTATTATTATTATTATTATTACTTTTATTTTTATTATCTGTGAAAAAAATTTATTCTTACACATACAAGATTTTTAAAAAAAAGAATAAAAGTTGGAGATCGAAGTCTCGATCAGGAAGCCATGAATGCTTAAGGTGACATAATAAAGGATTAAATTAACTGCAAAACCGTGGACGAAGATCCTTCTAGTTGTAAACGTTGGATCTCTAAAAAAGAGATCTAATCAGCCAAAATATAAAGAACCAAAAACGAGAAGTCCAAAGACTGCTGTAAAGCTAATTTAAAACAACGTGCATTGTTTTCTTACAACAATATTTCGGCTGGCCATACCAGCCTTAGCTAGCCTTCTTCAGGTTGACAGACGGTTACTTAACTTATGTAGCAATCACAATATTAGGCGGATTACAATAATTCGTCACGGCGGTTTAGGCCATGAGGTTCAAGAGTTATGGCCATGAGGTTCAGGAGTCATGGCCTACTGGCCATGACTCTTGAACCTCATGGCCTAAACCGCCGTGACGAATTATTGTAATCCATATCCTTAGTATTTTTCCTTTCCAGTTTTTGTGTTGTACGTCATTTCTGCCTCTCCCTTTTAAACAATTTTTATTGCGACATTCCCCATGTATATAATATTGTGATTGCTACATAAGTTCAGTAACATCGATCTGTAAACCTGAAGAAGGCTAGTATGGCCAACCGAAATATTGTTACAAGAAAACAATACGCGTTGTTATGAATCAGCGTTGCAGTAGTCTTTGGACTTCTCGTTTAAGGTGACATGCCTTCTCTGTACACAGGGGTACGTTGTAGCTACTATCATCGCTAGACCAGTCTTTAGGCGTTTTTGATTTCAAACTCCACCGAAGTAGCAGGTAATCTCAGATGATCTCCTGATGCCGCACTCACACCTGATCTGATACCTGAGTCGGCGTTCGAAAATATTGTGCTCTTAAGCTAAAGAGGGTGTGCGTTAGAGGTATTTGGAAGCTCTCTACAGGTGTGTGAAATGGTGTAGTTTTGTCTCTTTCTGCCGAAACTATAATGAATTAAAAATAGTAAGAAGGACGTAGTAACTGTTTCACTCAAATCAGTGAAGTTTCTTGAAATAATCATTACGTTGCGCAGAATGGTTACCTATTCGACCACTATCAGCTTACTCGTCAATTTTTCAGCATAGGATAGGTCAATAGAGAAATGAGTTGAATTCGAAATTCATCATGATTCAATGCAAACGTGACCTGCCTTCACTAGTCAAACTTCCCCCGATTTTCAAACCTCCAAATACTTTGCACCAATTTGCTTTTCCGCTAGTGGTGCGACAAATCGGGATTCCACTTTACAACAATTAACAAGAATCGCCGAAAGGCGATTTTTAACTGGGCTGTCAAGGGGCTATTTTTTCTGACGGGAGGGGGCGGCTATACACACTCAGGCTACCATAAAACCTTGTCGGCAACCATTCCATGCGACAGAACCTCATGTGAGACTGAAACATAAACTCATTCAGAACATTGTACCCTTTTGAAAGACTTTCGTAACCGAAAAAAAAGAGTACCATTTTTAAGTGGGGGCTGTATAATAACTTTTAAATTCCACCATTATGAATAAAAATAGACAAGTTAGCCATTAATTCTAAGCAGGAAACAATTTGCATTATTTCCACGTACCCCTCCCCTAATCCCTCTGTGCCCCAAAATATAGCGTGACAGTATAACGTGAACTAATTTGACGTAACTGGAAAATCCAAAAATTGTTGTCGTTCTACGAGTATAATGAGCTGATTTACACTAGACAGAAAAATTGTATTGTATGAAAACCAGAAGTATACTAAAACAGACAGTTAACTGCCCATTGATCCCGCCTGATCCAGGGGCCTCACTGACTGCAGGGAGACTTTACTGCGCTTTTCACAAACATGCGAACTCTAAAGTTCAAAAGCCACCTTCACAATTGTGTTTATCGCTGCCGTAAATCATAATTACGATCACAAGCAACGAACCTTGAAACAGAGAAACACACAAAACGGATCGAAATCCACAAATCACAAACCATGACCTTTTGAACCCGTGAAGTAAAGTTTTGTTTCCTAAGAGGTCCGTTAAGATGATTGACAGCAGCGAAAAACGCAATCGTCGGTTGGCTTCTGAACTTCAGAATTCGCATGTTTGTGAAAAGTGCGATCCTAATTTGCGGTCCACAGTCTACAAGAAAACGCACTATTTTTTCCACAAGAAGAAAAATATTCAGTTTTAAGACTTTCCTCATAGTATTTTTCTCTAACTTAAAGGAATAAAATCCTTTGCATTTTGAGACCTAAAAAAGTTTAAAGATTTCTCGCTCGCATGTTGCGTTCACCAGCACGCACTTCAAACAATGTAAATAGATGAAACGATCGATAACATATTTTTTACCTGATACCGATGCGAGTTAAAAATTCAAGAAACATCACGAGAGCTGAAAACTTTTAAAAGCATGTTTCTGAAACTCGCTAAAGCTGACATCAATATAGCGTGCTTGCTGAATGGGCGAAAACACAGAATTGTGATCACAAGATCATGTACAAATTTAATGATAAAAGCTTAGCAAGATACAAATACAAACAAAAGCAAACCCCCTGAAACCTCGACGTGGGCTACACTTGTATGCTCTACTCAGTCACCAAACCTTGTCAGTAATAGCTCCTATTTTCCTAAAGTCGCTCTCTGTGAAGCTCCCGGATGGGATGTCCCGGTGAATTAAACTTGTGCATTGTGTGCGAAATTCTCAGAGTCCCTATTTTTGTCCGTGTCTTCTTTATCCTCAGTATCCGAAATTTAGACCTCCAAAGTGGCGTGTGTTGCATTAAATAGAAGGAAATATTTAAAGGAAAAGCCAGTCTTCTAACATGGCAAAGTTGTCACGTCCCTCGCTCATGGACGTGCGTAGTGCCATTCATCGGCAACTGAGTTGTTCGCTTCACTGACTACGAAGGCTTACAATCAAGTCTTCAGCCATAGTGTCGTCAACTGGTGAAATACCTTGCTCATAAATTGTGCTTCTTAATTGCTCATGTACTACATCGATCGATAGTTCACGAAGTAGCCACGGCGTTCCAAACCTGACGCTCACAATCATCTTTTCAGTCTTTTAGTGTGAACCTACCGTGAACGGCGTGTCGGTTTGAATGCAACGCGAGCATTTCTCTGAGTTTCCCAGCGCCAACATCATCTAACTGACTTAAACTCGAACAATAAAAAAATTATAGAGTGACTCCCATGATCGAATCGCTTCGAACAACGCAAATAGCCTTCTTCAGGTTCGCAACGCTTTGTGGGTTTTTCAGGGGGAGCGTCGACGAGGTACGAAAAGTATCCGTGCAAGGCTCCGTGCAAGAGAAACTCATATGAAACCATTTGTGAGAACATCGTTTCTTGGTACCAGACCCTCCTGTCTTCCCTCCCCCGGGAGGCCGTTTTTCGCCGCAGACGACCGAAAGCCCATTTTATGACTGGGCGCACAGGCAGCCCAGTAAAAACTGGCCCATTTTATTATTATTATTATTTTTCGCCTGATTAAAATTTGTTTCGAAACTTTCTAGACTGGCATGGCTCTCTCCATTGCTTTCATTAGTGTTTCGTCTTACAGGATACATTTCGCTGATAAGAACAAAGACTTATAAGTTGTTTTGTGAACCTCTTCCTGCACGCATGCGCAGTTGCACCAATCTGTATTGAACACCCTGTCATGCTTCTCAGTTGTATAGAAATCAATTTATGACAATCATTCGAGGGCCACTTATTTTTTCTCGTATAAATGGCCTTGTTACTTGCTCTGCCGTTATGTGCGTGTGTTTTTCCTCGCGCCGGAAGCGTGTTTTTGTAACCTCAACCGACCCGGCCCAATCAATACTGTTTCGCAACCATTAATTAAGGCGCTCATTGAAGGTGTGGGCTCTCGGCATGACTCTCAGTTTAATCCAGTGAACGGGTAAATGGGGTCTTCAGATTGAAAAGCGAATTTCAAAGGAAGAAATTACATTAAGGTGAATGATTTACGCATAAGGAATTAAACACTTTAACAGATTGGAAAACTGAAACTGTGTATCTTGCCACCCACGTTTTGAAGAACTGAAATCTTTTCAGCCTGTCTTTTAATTATGGTTAATTGAGGTCTGAACTTATAAAAACAATATTTAGGAAGCTTATTAGCGAAATACGAAAGTTCGAAAGCGATCTCTTGACACTCACGCAACCAATAGTCAGCAAATAATATAAAAACAGGCTGCAGTGCCTTGAATCATGTAGCTCGAATCGTTCCATGCTATCGGAAAATCATGGCGGCCACGTTTTTCCTCCTTTTGGGATTGTATCTCTCAGTATCGCCATGCTTCGCGATCGATTCACATGCATCTTGCTTTAGCAAATCCACGAACGTGAGACCAATCCCAAGCGCGCACCTCTACAACAAGAAGAAAGAGAAACCCTTGGTCATCGGACATCATGGCAATCCGTCTAAATATCAAGAAAACACAATCGATGGTTTCAAGAGCTTGAAGGAATTGAAGGCTGACGGAATGGAGTTTGATACTTTTCTTACAAAGGATGAGCAATTGGTTGTTATCCATTATGACAACACAGAGGTTAGTACCGGGCAAAGCCGGTCTTAAAGACCTGGGACAGAGGAGGAGTGGGCATTCCTGGTCAGTTCTGATTTATAGATGATCTGGAAAAGTTAAAACTATTTTCGGTTACATGAAAATACAAGTAGCTCATGGCCAAGTCCTGAGGGTGACGTTTGCCGTTTGATAGCCTTGATTTCGTAGTCGAGACATTTGCTCACCACATTTTCTCTCTTCATCCTCATTTTTTTTTTTACTTAATTCAAATTAACTTCACGGGTAACCGCGACCGGTTGGTGACATGATTGATAACCTCCTGTCTAGCAAAT